TGCATGCCCTGACCATCTGCACATCTGGGGGGCAGCGGAAAGGGGAAGGGGTAGGAACGAACGAAAAAGACAGAAAAAACACGAACTCGAGATAAGAAATTGCTGAACACGAACATTGTGTGCCATCCTCGGATGGCACAATCAGAAGCAGGATGAGGCCATGAACCGACACTAGGACTTTTCTAAATGCATGCGACTCCAGAGTTTAGTACAAAACTGGCCCTAGTGTGAGTATGCCATGAGGCGGTGCCAGGGTGGCACGAGTTTTCTCACTCATGGATTGCGAGGGGGCTGCGTAGGACCTACATATGGCTATCTCAATGTTCACGACAGCTTACCTGCAAACTACAACGCCATGATCGCAATTCGGGAATGGATCAGGAGAGGCCGGCGTGCACACTGTTTCTGCGAGCTGGTGGAGTGGTAGTGAGTGACATAAATAGCGTTCACGTTCTTTTAGCTGGTGGTTGGGAGGAACAAAACACTGTACCGAGCGTCTGCGGGGTTAGGGCTGCTACCGCGAACAGGGGAAACAGGTTTTGGTAGCCGAGCTACCGCGAACAGGGGAAACAGGTTTTGGTAGCCGACACAAAGTACACCGTACTGGACACCAGTGCCTCCTACCTGCAACAAAACTTCTTTCTGTTGGAACTTCTAGAAGACAATTTTCAGGTTCATCGGAAAGCTTGGAAACGTGCTGAAGGGGCGGTTCCTTCAAAACCGCCCCCCGAATTCAGAGTCTTTTCAGACACATCCAAATTGGTCTGAATGAGGTGGCCTCTCCATTCAGGTACAAAGATTCAGCAGACATAAGAATAGCCATCACAAGGGTACTGAACTTTTGAGTTCAGGACCCCCCGCTTGTGCTACGCTCATTCTCAGAAAGCGTGCACCAAGTTGCCGACACCGCCAGGCTCGCTCTCTCCTAGAGCAAACATATAATGATAGTACTCCTGTGGCCTGCCTCTATAAGCCACGAATCGTGCACATGATCTTACCCCCCAAACCTAGACCTGCCGTAGCAGTTTTTGAGTGTTGTGGGCCTTGTGGCGATACCCCCCCCCCCTACTTACGTCCAACGAGACCAAGTGGTGAGCTTGGAAACATGGTGGAGAGTGCCCACAAAGTATGTAGGTGAATGGTGAATGGCGGAAGCATGTCCTGAGTGGAGACTGGGTTCAGATTTGATAGATTCGGTAAGACGGACTCAACGACTCGCGTAGCACGATCACGCAACGTAGTACACAGCTGCTTGATGCAGAGTATGAACAAGCTTACAGACTATATTATCTTAGTCAGTCCCAAAACCACCGAACGTCTTCCTGTAACTGATCCAAATCATTCCGCTAACCCTCTGCTAAACAGGAGATGGCACAAATGCCGTCAACTGTTGAGCGGGTCACATGACGGGGAAGTGTTCTTTCCTCCTTCACCAGTCATGAAAAAGACGCTCTTCTGAAAGACCCAGAGGTTGACCCATCCCACTACAAATCTGTAGACACTGGACAGTCATCTCTCACACATTCTGAAGCTATTTTCGCTTATTTCTAGAAGTGGCATATTCCATGTCCACCCCAAGTACAGGGGAGGGGCACTCCATCGGAAACCCATGCCCGGCAAATGATGAGACTTCCATTTGCGCAGGAAGTGAGACAGGACATGGCACAAATGTTGTCAACTGTTGAGCGGGTCAAATGGTGGTGGAGTGTTCTTTCGCCGTTCTCCAGTCGTGGAGAAGACGGATTTGTGAAAGACCTAAAGGTCTGCAGCTACTCTCGCTTATTTGCAGGCATTCCTCTGCAGGGCCTTGGCATATTCCATTTCCACCCCATGTACAGGGGCACTCCATCAGGAACCCATACCCGGCAACGGTGATGAAACCCATACCCAGCAAGAAGGAAAGCAAAGAAGACTCAGCCATACTCTTGCAGCACGAGTCGCCTACGCACATCCACAAACATATTTCACAAACCGGGTTCAGTGAAAATTGTGCACCCACTTGATTTCTCCTCCTAGTTCCTACCAATTTTCTTATAGGGGGACAATACAACCCCACAACCCCCTTCCTCCCCTCCACCATCCCCCTCCTTCCCCCTCCTTCCCCCCACCCCCCCACCTACCTTTGCCCTCGAGGAAATTCAGAAGGGCCTGCACACCCACACAACCCTGCTATCGCCCTCTGGATCCTCCGAGGTTTTCTTCTTTTTGTTTTTAGTTTCGATTCATCTCGTAGGGTTCTTGGCATTGTTTTTCCAAATTTCGAGTGCCGGACTGAAAATAAACTTTTTCGCAAGTTTTTGATTCTTTTCCTTCCATTGTCTTTTCTTTCTTTCATTCAGTAGCAGTGGAAGTAGGGCGCCCAAAACACCTGTCACGTTGACGGCGAATGTGAACCAAACACAGGGGGGGGGGTTAGCCCATCTACCTACTTTAGGGGATGGCCCACCATATGAGACCTTTCGTCAGAGCAGTGGATCTGTATACCCATGTAACGATCATTAACCACCGATTCTCTGCTGAAGGCTCCAGACCCCTGCTTTTTTTTTTTGCCTGGAAACGAACAAACATCTGATTCCTGTTGGAAAAGCATTTGGGCTTCTGCATGTCCAAGTGGATCATCATACCTGGACGTCTAGATGCGTTCTGGTTGAGCTGCGTCCCGTTCCACGACCAAATGTGTTAATATCTGTTCTTTCCCAGCATGGAAACATCACACCCTGTTTCCCCCCTCTTCCCCCACCCCTGCTCCGCCCGGGCCCCCTGCTGCAACCCCCAAAAAAGGGAAAAAGATGGAAAACAAACACCGACGTAACTACTTACATTGCTTGAGGTCCTAAGAGAACCTCCTACAGCTCGTTCTTCACGTGGAGGAGGCTGCAGGGTGGCGGACACCACTGATGCCTGATCTCCGGCAACCAAGGGAACCCCCAGCATTGCAGGCACGTACTTGCTATCCCATGTACACAACACATGCTCTTCGCCTTGCCAACAGGACTGGTAGAATTTTAGGGGGGAAACCCAGAAAAGAATGAAAAGAACAAGACTGCTAGAATTTTGAAATCACTCTCTCAAAAATTGCAAGTTCTTAGCTGTTTCCCTGATGACATAGGTGATTGGTAAGAATCATCGGCTTTACCTCCAAGGAAATCTGCATGACGGTCACCTATTTGCCACACGTCAAAAGTTAGATAGCGAAACAACAAACAACATTTAATACAAAGAATTCATTTCGTGATAAAAACAAACAAACAAACAAACAAACAAAGACAAGGAGACAAAAGATCCCTCCATTCAGACAGGGAAGCAGCAAACCTCTCAAGAGGCCCACCAGCCTGCTACAGTCCGCACACCGCAGCATCTGTCGGCATCCAACGTCAGCCACACATTCAACGTCCGCATGCCACAGAGGAGGCAGTCTTCACCATCTCTTCGACATCACCTTGCGGGCTGATCCTCGCACGAGTGCCCACTTACCTGTTCTCATGCGTCATTGGACTCGTTGGATCACCTGCATCACTGTCTCTTGCGTTGCTTTGTATGCCAGACTCAAACAGTGGCACAAAGTCGAAGCTCTGTGCAGCGCAGGAAAAACGAAATGCACGTCAATTGAGATCCCCATAATGCACTTCATCAATACTTATACTACATTCAAAGTGGTTGTGCCACTTGGTCCCATCCTGGAACTGTAGCAAAAGGACCAGCCGCCTCCAGACCTGACATGATACAAATGCCCTGCACCAGAAAAGATGCCAAGACTGCAAAGTCCATCGGATCGGTGCCCATTCGGCAAGAGCCTCTGAAAGTGACACAGTCTCCGACAGTTTACCACAGGGCATCAAACAGACGACACACAACAATTCATAGAGTCCAAGTGTCGAACAAGGCAACAGTTATGGTCGGACCTGCGCCACAAAAAAGGCTCCTTCTATTCTCGGGGTATCAGTCTGGTTCCTTTCCACTGGCAAGTACAGAAAATACAAGTTCGTTCAACGCTTCCCCTCCTTATGGCCAGGGGAGCCCCAGCAACATCAATGTCCCCGTACACAAGAATGGAGTGACTCGCAAGCCCACGCATAACAGCAATAGCAACCTTGAGGAATTCTCAGTTCGATACAGCTAACAGTTGACTGCCCAGAGGAACCCCAGCAAGATTGATTACCCCAAAACAAAAAAGTGCATGCAACCACTTCGGAAAGTTCGGATGAATTCCCCGTACAATACTGCTCTGTTCACGCTCACAGCATCTCTCTCTCTCTCTCTCTCTCTCTCCTGTCTCTTATACACATCTAGATGTGTATAAGAGACAGCACAGTGTGTTACCCGAACTACAGGTTACTAAAA